TTTTTGGTACCAGGAATTGAACTTGGGTCCTTGTGCTTACAAGGCAGGCAGCAGAACCACTGAGCTAAATCCCCGGCCCTAAGAGTCCTTTTGAAGAGCCTCCTGGAGCCCTGAGCTCCTTAGCTAAGGAAATTCTGCAAATCTCTGACCCCCCAGATGCCACTTTGCTGGGGCAGAGCGAGGCCTCCAACCTGCAGGTCACTCCAACAGGAGGCTACTGCCCCACTCCCCAGGACTGCGGGGAAGGGAACAAGGTGTGAGGCAGCTTTAGCAGGCACAGCCAGGAATGCAAATTGCCCAAAGGCCAGATGTAAAGGGATCCAAGTTCGGCTTTATTTTTGGACCAGCCCAGATGCCATCAGCGGACCTGTACCGAGGCCAATAGGAGACACCATCCTTCCCAGGCCCATCCCTGCCCCGCTCAAGGGTGACATGTGTGTGTGTCCTTCCCTGTGCCCAGGCCCAGGCATGGCGCACGAAGGCAAGGCCAGGACCCAGCTGCTCAGGAAGCCCTATTTTTGAAAAATATTTCTGCTTATCTGTCTCAGTCTGCATGTTTTTAATGTATTAATTTTACTCAGACACAAGGCTTGCTGTTTCCCAGGCTGGTCCTCCAACCTGTTTCCTGAAAAGCTGGGATGACAGGTGTGTGACAGGGTGCCCAGCCGCCCTCACCAAGTGGTGGTGGTGGCCCCTGCCATCTCCTGAGATTTAGAAGGGAGCCCTACCCTGTCCCTGCTCTCCCAGATGCTGCTGAGCAGATGCCCACGGCCAGGGAGCAGAGGAGGACGCATTGCATGCTGGACTCTGGGTTCAGAGGCTGCTGGCCCCCCTCTGGGGTCAGGATGCACAGGGCAGGCAAGGCCCGTGGGGGGAGGCTTGAATGCTGCACTCTGGGAGTGGCTAAGGCAGGACGGTCTCAGCTCTGCCTCCCAAGTCCCAGAGGCCTGGACTGGGGCATCCTATGGGTGGACAGACAGATGCTCAGAGCCACATAGGCTCCAGGTCTACACTGGGCTGAGAAATTCAGACTGGCAGGGCAGAGCCTGCATGGTGGAAACACATCAGCTGCTGCTCTGGGCTGCTCCGGGTGGGTCATGGGGCTCCTGCCCCCGTGCCCACCAAGAAACAAAGCCTCCCCATCACCGTCTGTGCTGCGAGAGGGAGGCAGGCGCAGCTCAGCAAGGCAGCGGGGTGCTGCCCCCTCACCCAGTGCGGTACACACAAAGCCCACGGATCCAACAGCTCTGCTTTTAGAGCTACAGGAGCCTCGCTAGCATCCCGGTTACCAAGGCGAGGAGCAGCACCGCAGTCACCGCACCAGAGCTCCAAGGAGAGGAGGCCCCAGGAGCTGGGGAGCAACACCCAAGCCACGCCTCAGGGCCCGACCCACAGACCCAGCACTGCTCACCAAGCCCTGCTCTGAGGAAAGGCTGGGATGTGGACTGAGGACACAAAGGCCCACCAAGACGAGGCCCCAGATGAGGGGAGAGGGGCTGCTGGAGGCACCGCGCCAGTCTGAAGGTTGCCACATCCCAGCCTCTCCGCCTCAAGGACAACCTTTTTGTCCCATCCCATGCTGCCATGGCCAAGCCAAAGCCCAGAGCAGAAAGTTTGGGCAGAATCGGATAAAGGACAGACTGAAACGTGGAATTCTGGTAACAACTCTGTTGGCAAAGGAGATGGGAGCTTAGTGGAGTGGTGGCTGCCACCACCACCCAGAATGGGAAGAGGCGGTGGCCACAGCCTCAGAGCAGGGCACTCTGAGAGGCACCTCCCCTCACCAGGAGCCACACACCCACCGGGACAAGGGCTTCAGACCTCAGAAAATGGCAAATGGACACTGCACATACAGATTTGGGGAGGAGGGGGCCTAAGGGCTTTCCCTGAAGGAAATCTATAAATAAGCCCTGTACATAAGATAAATAAACACAAAATTAACCTCATGGCCCTGCAGGCAGGACAGATCTGCCACCAAATGAGTTCTGGTGTCAAACTTCAGCTAACATGACAGGGTTTTGGAGCCATCTGAACCTCAGACTCTTGACTAAGCAGCCGTGGGCTGGGGCCAGAGCCACCGCACATACAGCACAGTCCCCAGGCTGCGTCAACACTCTACCTTCTGGCACAGCTGGAACCAGGTGAAGGAGTCGGGGAGAGGCCGCAGCGACCACAGGGCCCCCAAGATGTGGGCTGCTCCTGCTCAGGGCTGACTCTCCAGCACCACCACCCCCGTGTCTACACCGGATCCAGTCTCCGGTCTGCTTCCCCCAAACAGGGAGACCCTGGCCCTAGGCCCTGCCTCACAGCCACCGCAGGGGTGCAGGCTGACATTCACCATTTCAGCTTCTGATGGTCTCCAGGGTCCACAGGCTGGGCCCTGCGGTCCAGAGTATGAGGGGCCTGGATCTTCTCTGCTTTGCAGCCTCTGCTCCAAGATGATTTTGGAAAGTCCCTTCCTGGGCTCCTCTTCCCCCCTGGGGCAAGAGGCTGGGCTCAAGCTGGGCCCAGAACGCCCTGGTGACTGAGAGCACACGTCAGATGGCAGAGGACAGGAGTAAGCCGGGACCTGCTGGGCCGCACCGGAAAGGGGCTCCACTCCAGCAGAACCGTCCACCTGCGCCAGGAGTTGCCCCAGCATGGGAAGGCTCCGGGCAGGGACGCGCGCCTGGGCGCAGCGCCGGTTTCTCCTCTGGGACGCGGGCTG